TATATTTGGGGATTGTACCCCCAGAAGAGAAGCATTTCTGGCTTTGAGGTTTTAAAAAAAAGGCCCAAAACAATCCAGGTAAGCTGTTCCAGAGGAAATCGTCACTGGTCCCATCAGCATAAGCTGCTTCCTACATGGCTACAGTCGTTTATAAAAAATAATCACAATGCAAACATGCTCATGAAAAAAAAAGTGATTAAAAAATGTCATAGCACATGAAGATGTCTTGCTATGAAATCTCATGCAGGGCATCATGTTTCCGCTGCCGCAGGGGATGTCGCTTTGAGTGGAGAGATAACTTGGTCTTGAACACCGGCGCTGGTGTCAGGGTGGGTTTGCAGGGGTTTCTCCGCCGATCTGCACACCTGGCCACCGGGAGCTGGGTTGGAGACTACCAGTTTGCTGTTGGAGGCCATGGGGGAGATGCCCAGCGGCAACTTACTCCATCCCCTCGTTAGTAAAACTGGGCATGAAACATGGGGCGAAGACACAATGCAGCTTCTTGTATCGTATTTAAAGAGTGCTGTTAGAAATAGGGGGGGTTGCTGACCAAAACGTATGCAAGGGCAGAATTATTAGGCTAAAACTCATTAGCCAAGTGGATTGCTCTTAGTGACTCTATTGATTTTTCTCTAACAAAATAAGAAACGGACAAAAATTAGCATAGTATACAATTATTTAGTGCCGCCTCCCAGCATTTTCTTCCCATCCTTTCTGCGAGTGCTGTAAACAAAACCAGATTGATGAAAAGGGTTCCCACCGCAGAGCCAGGCCAACGTTTCCCAGCACCAGCCATCTCCTCTGAAAGGGGCCACTGTGTCCCGCAAGCTCTTTCAGCCATCGCAGAAGAAAGGGCTGCTTGGTGCGGCTCATTTCCCTCTCCTGGGCCGGCCGGCCTCCTCTTCCTCCTCACCTCGCCCGGGCCGCAGCGCGAGGGAGCCGGTGCCAAGCTGCAGAGCCGTGGCGGAAGAAGCATCTCCGTAGCTGCCTTCTCTCCCTCGGCAAGTCTGCCAGCTGCACAAAAGGCTATTGAACCGGGGAGGCTTCTGCATTCGGGCAGCGTGGGGTTTTGTTTATTGGCCTGTCACCCACAACAATGGGGAAAAGGGCTTTTCCTGTGATTTTTTTTTTCCTCTTTTTTTTTTTTTTTTTTCTAAAAGCAAATTAACAGCCGGGATCAATGC